GCTTCCCAAGGATCCCAACAGCTTCTGCCACTCTCTCTCTCTCTCTTCATTGTACCCTGGATATAGCTATACCCCCGTGTACCCTTTTTTGCCTCTCGCCGCTCTTTCACGAAACTTCCGGAACGCTTCCACAAACCACGGATTCACGGTTGTACCGAATCCTTCGTTTTATGGTTTGCTCAAGAAACTTGGATTATTAGAAAAAGCGACAAGAATTCGGAAACGTCGAAACCAAGAAATATTAACCAAAATTCAACCAATGAGCCGAACAATTTACTTCCTCTCGGACTCACTAGGCATCACTTATCGGGCCAACCCGAAGTCTATGCTCCAGTCATATCCCATGATGACACTACTCCTAACTATGACAGGGAAATAACCAACTTGTGTTTTGCTCAAGAAAGAAATTTGGAATATTAGGGAAAGCGACAAGAACTCAGAAACGCCGAAACCAAGAAATATCGAAGCCAAAATCCAACCTATGAGCCGAACCATTGACTTCCTCTCGGACTCACCAGGGATCACTTATCGGGCCAACCCGACGTCTATGCCCCGGTCATATCCCTTCACAAGAAAACACAAAAACCAACGCAAATTGGAAAACGAATTTGGTACTAGACAGATTTTCCTATTCCCATTGATCCCTCCTCTCTTGAGCGACAGGGTGGGTGGGTGGGAAAATTCGATCAAGTCCCAAACGAAAACTCTATTCTCTCGCTGCTGCTTTGCTGCACTGCCTTCGCGGGCGACGCAACGCTTTTCCCTTCGAGGTCCTCGGCTTCCCAAGGATCCCAACAGCTTCTGCCACTCTCTCTCTCTCTCTTCATTGTACCCTGGATATAGCTATACCCCCGTGTACCCTTTTTTGCCTCTCGCCGCTCTTTCACGAAACTTCCGGAACGCTTCCACAAACCACGGATTCACGGTTATACCGAATCCTTCGTTTTATGGTTTGCTCAAGAAATTTGGATTATTAGAAAAAGCGACAAGAAATCAGAAACGCCGAAACCAAGAAATATTGAAACCAAAATTCAACCAATGAGCCGAACAATTTACTTCCTCTCGGACTCACTAGGCATCACTTCTCGGGCCAACCCGACGTCTATGCTCCGGTCATATCCCATTGCGCGCCCCGATACTCGGCGCCCTTGTCCACGCTATTTCTCCCCTTCAGCTAGACGCTAGTGCGCGCGATACACAATTAGCGCCTTCGCCTCTTGCCCTAACGCACGTCATGAAGGCTCCTGACTTCCAACTCCCCGCCCTCTGGATCTGAACAACCGATGCGCCCTGCTTTGCTAGTTGCTTCGCACCACCTATCCTCCCTGAGTGCAGCGCGAAGTGCGTTGGGTCTTCTCCTACTCGTCTCGCCATGCTCTCAGCACTGTCGTTGCTTCCGACCTCGACACTACTGCCCACCGTCGCTGCTTGACCGACTGCATGAGCGGCGCGCTACTTCCTAACTCTGTGTGCACGTCAAGCAGATTCAGCAAAATCTCTAGCGCCCCCATCTTCTCAGCCATCTGTTCCCCTTCCTAGTCCCGCACTACTCTCTCTCTCGTCACTACCGCGCCTCGCCTCTTTTGGTCCGCTTTCGATGCGCGAAAAGTCACTTCAACTCTGTCTGCCCGCCTTCTTTCGTTCCATGCCAACCGACACGCTCCTTCGAAGAATACGAGGTTCCCTCTCGTGAGACAAAAATCGGCGTGTACTACGCCGTTGTGGTAGGCCCACAGCTCAGACGCTCGGCACAGCAAGAAATACGAGAGAGCGATCCCCATCCACGTCACTACTCTGAAAGCATTCGTCTGCGCTCTCTCTCTCCCCGCAATAATCATCGGCACGGTAAGCGGTTGCCTTACCGTGCCGTTTCGTCTCTGTACTCGCATGCAGTCTGTCCATTGCGTTCCCAATAGCTACCACTCTGAAGTGCGACGTGGGCAGCTCCCAGCCTGCGTACAGTTTATGGAAGTACTTGATAGCCGTGAGGTACCCCTTCAGCGTTTGGCTCTGGTTCTTGTACACTAAACAACTCGACGCCATAAACACAGTCAGCTCTCTCACTGCGCTATCCACACCGTCCTCGTCGTACAACCATGGACTCAAATCGCTTTAGCTCTTTCAGCTGTCCACGTGTCCCACTTGCTGTGGTATCCCTTCAGCGTGCTCGCGTTGAGGGAGCCGTGATCCATAATCCTGAGGAGCCTTTCGCCTTCATCGCTCGTTCCCTTCATCCCGTGTTCGGTTCCTGCGCTTGAACACGTTAGAGTCACCGCACCTTTTTTAGTTCTTTCGCTCATCATTCTCTTATCACTTCGTCTCTTTACACGCTTGCCATGCGGCTCCACACGAGGCAATCCATTCTCTGGTTCGAGAGTTTCTCCTGCCGTATCATTTCAATTAGTTCTCTTCCGTTGTCTCCGATGTCTTGCATTCGNTCCGGGGTGCGTCGGCTTTTCTCCCACGACCATTTGGACCACCCAGCATGTCATTATCATTCCGAGCAATTCTAGCGTGTTGATCGTGATTGCGCTGGTTTCTTTGGCTTCTGCTTTCCTTTTCAGCTCCGCGGTAAACGCGGGTTTAGATCGATACCGCCAGACCGCTTTTAGTTCGGGACAATGTCCGCCTACTGCGTCGAAGTTAGCATCCGATAGGTAGTGACGGAGAGGCGTGCGTTGGACGTGATTAAATAACAACGCGCTAAGTGACTCTCCTTTCTCCGCGAGTTTAACTTCCAGCGCCCATCTCCAGAAGTCTAGGTCTCCGTGGAACTCCCAACCAAGACGTACCTGCCGCTTCTCTCTCGACTTTATGTTAGTCTTGTCGTGTAGGCCGGTGAGGCGTAAGAGGTGCCAAACGAATATTTCCCCGCCCTCACCACGTACCTCAGGTTCCAGAATTTTCCCGCCATACTCAGGACTTCTTGCACACTGGCGAATTCTCTGGTCTGTGGCCAATCGTTCTTTAGCGCGATCCTTATCGCGTCGATCCTGTCACGTGTTGTCGCGATCGTCATTTTATGTGTGTCTATCGTGTGTCCGAGAAAGTCCACTTTCGTGTTCCAGTCTGTGTTTTTCTTCGGGGCGAGAATGCGCGTTTGGCCGCCCTGCTGTCCCGAAGAATCTCACACAGTCAGACGCTAATGACGCGGAGGCTACCAGCGCTGAAGCGCCGTCTGGCGCATGTTGTACTTTCAGTAAAGCGAAATCGTCTACGTACACCCCACACGAGAAATCATCGTGTGGTCCGCCTCCGTCATGCGGTTTCACGTTGGCATCTCGGGGCACTCGGGCGGGTTGTCCGTCTTCCCACGGCTCGACTATTTTCACATGTGACATCATTTCGATCCCTTCGTCTACTAGTTGTACGTTGGGGTCTACGTCTTCCTTGTTACGGAGGTTTTCTCCAGTTTTCGCACTGGGTCCTTCTCTGTCTTGTCGCCAATAAACGTATTGGGTATAGCACTCTCGCGATCTTCTCCCTGGTGCGAGGGGTCTGCTTCTCCCTTGTTACGGGGGTCTTCTCCAGCGTTCACGCCGGGTCTATTCTCTTCTCCCGAGTTACGGGGGTCTTCTCCTCTCATTTGTTCAAGTCTAGCACACGGTTGTTCATCTCCTTGGTTAGAGGGATTCATTGGCACTCTGCAGTCATTTCATGTTCATCGCTATTGGTGCGTGATTTACTCTGGCTGGTACTTCTACGAGTACACGGTTGTTCTACTCCTTGGTGACATTGGTCTATCAGCTCTGGTTCTGCACTAATTTCATGTTCCTCACTACTGTATCGGTACTTGGTTTACTCGGGCGGGTACTTCTTCTCTCACCGTAGATCACGTTCGGTGCCACCAACCCGGGAAGAGGCGATTCAGTTAGCGCCACGGCCCTGCTCCTGTCTACGAAAGCTGCTACCGTGGCGTCACTCCCCCCCCTCGGCCGCGTTGGCCCCACCTCTGGATGGGGCCCGTATTGTCAGGAGTTGGTTCCTGCTGCTCCGTGTGGCCTGTACTTGTTACTGTAACGGGCGACTACGGGGCGTGATGCGGCGAGGGCGGGGGCGGGGGCAAGAGCAAGGGCGGTCGCGGGGGCGGGAGGCCGGGCTAGCGCTGTAGGCGGCGGACCGGGCGGCGGACCGGGGGGGGCAACGCTGGGGTGAACCTGTACGTGGTTGAGGGTGCAGTGCGGGCGGGTGTACTTTTGCCCTTTCCAGTGGCAGTGACACGCGCGATGGGGGGTTCCCCACGTGAGGAGGTCCTGCTGGAACGAGGTCAACGTCGCCACCGCGTGTTGGTGGGCAACGGGTGCGGCGGCTATCCGCGGGCGGGATGCTGTATGTCCGCTCGTGACGCTGCTCGCTGACGCTTTCCTCTTCTGTGGCTGCGGGAGCCCGGCCAGGCCGTTGTTAAGCTTTCCGACGATTATGTTGGCGCTGCCTTCCGCGGTGAGACCGCGCAGCCGCGAAAACGCGGGGGGGGGGGACGGGTTGCACGTCGTCAGCCGCCGGCGGGGAGATGTCGTGGTCAGCGTGGGTCGCGACACCAAGGTCTGAGATGTTTCCGAGATAGTCGTTGATGTCGGTGTTGGTGTCGGTGATCAGGCGCGTCTTCACCGCTGCTTCTTGACCCGTGATCTCGGCCGAATGAAGGCTGAGGTAGTCCGGGGCGTTGGACACAATGCGGCTGACTTCGGCTTTCAACTGTTGCCTGCGACCGGTCGATGGTTCGCCTGCGGTGTGTATGCCATGGTCCAACACGGCGAAGAATGCTTTCACGAACGTCTCGAGGTGGACGATGAAGTCGCGTGGCTGCGGGGTCCACCACGTAGAGAGGGGTGGGGAGAACTTGGCGACGTCGACGTTGGCGAGGGTCATCAGCGAATCGATCATTTCGGCGTCGGGATGGGCCACTTTGCGCAGCAGCTGGGCAATTGCGTTCTTTGACAGCGTGGTGCTAACGAACCACCCGCCGCGCAGCAGAAGCAGCGTCGCCGCGGACTCGTCTCCCCGTGCCTTCGTATCGCGGCGAAACCTTTCTTTCTGTACATGGGTGTTGAGGGCCTGGTTCGACACGTTTATCTTTTGGCACAGAGCTTGCGCTTGCTGTAGCTGTAGCACGAGCTGGCCACCTAGAGGGAGATTGATGGACTGGAGCTGGCCTTGCTGGTGGAGGCCGCCAGGGGGGAGGTGGCCAGGCTGCTGTTGCTGATGCTGGTGCTGGTGCTGGTACTGCGGGTACTGTTGCTGCTGCATCCTGAGCTCCAGGTTGCCGAGTCGGTCGTTTTGCTCGTTTAGCAGCACAGACATCTGCAGCAGTAGCTGGACAGGGTTGAGGGGGGGAGGTGGGCCTCCCAGCCCGGCTGGCGCGGCTCCGCCTGCGTCCTGGTCTCCTCCTGCTGCTGGAGGCGCGTTGTTGTGATGCTGGCTGGTCTCCCGCTGCTACTGCGTGTCCGCCACCACGGGGAGCTGCCGCTACTGCTCCTCCTCCGCCGCCGCTGCTCTGTTGTTGGTTAGCTGCGGGCGGTGATCCACCGGGAGGCGGCGGTAGTGGCGGTAGAGGTTGTGCTGGCTGCGCTGGCTTCGCTGGCTGCAGCTGCTGGGGGGGGACCCTGACCCTGCTGCTGCAGGTTGTTGCCGTTGTTCATCACTCCGGCGTGTCTAGGACAAATTCGATCAGGTTCGATCAAGTCCCAAACGAAAACTCAATTCTCTCGCTGCTGCTTTGCTGCACTGCCTTCGTGGGCGATGCAACGCTTTTCCCCCCGAGGTCCTCGGCTTCCGAAGGATCCCAAAAGCTCCTGCCATTCTCTCTCTCTCTTCTTTGTAACCTCTGTATTAGCTATACCTCCGTGTAACCTTTTTGCCTCTCGCCGCTCTTTCACGAATTTCCGGAACGCTTCCACAAACCACGGATTCACGGTTATACCGAATCCTTCGTTAAAGTAGGCTACATTATTTTTTCTCCCCATTGTTGGATTCTGTCGTCTGCCCCTCTGGCCCCTATCCTCCACTTCTACCAGCTAGACGACCCAACCGGGGTCACAAAGGAGGGGGGGGTTGGACCCCCTCCTGCGGTTCATGCCTGAGGTATTTTTATCGCGAGAAGGGTACAGCAATCCCTTCCCTCGCGGCTTTTGAAGTCGATCATGTTCACTAACAACGCGCTTTGCAGCGCATTGCTTCCAACGGAGACCGGGATTTAATTAGTGAGAAAAAACTCACTCTGTCAGGACTCGAACCCATGACCTGGCCCTTAGCAGGCTGCGAGGTTACCCACTAGACCACCGGGGCGACCACATATACTGCTGTACGTCGCCGAGTGATACAAGCAAATGGAACCAACGCCACGCACCACGCTTGCTTCTACGCGCACACGCGCGTATTGCGGAAGGAGGAACGAGGGTATACATACGACTAACTGTTCTATGTATGGTATGTGAACGGCTCCGTCCGTTGGGAGCCATTATTGCATATACACAGCTCTTGGATACGTGGCGGGAGGGGTGGGAGGCAGTGGGAACGTTTGTTTGCATAAATTGTTTCGTTCTTGAAAATTTTGTTCTAGATCTGCAAAATAAAAACGGACTGCATGCAAAGAACGGACGATCTCAGAAAAATTGGAACCTGCAAACCGAAAAGAGTCCATCGGTTTCCATCCCCAAGCGGGAAGCTCTGGCAGAGAAACTCAAGGGCAAGGGCCGGAGGAGTTGATTGAACTGGATTCTGTTCCGCCAGATTGTAAACCTAAACTCATGGTGAACGTCAAACATGCTCACGCACGCAGCAAACATGCCCCGTCTCAACTTTTGACAAACTCTTGTCTCACACGAATAACCTATTGTACGCAAGATGAGCTTCAAAACTTCCACCACAAAATAACCCCACGCGCCCAGTCTTCTCTGCTGGCATCTCGCAAGCCTCACAGCAGAAATTGAACAAATCAGCTTGAGTACTTCGTGGTGTAAATACTGGGTGGGGGGGTGTTTGGTGCATCGGCGGGGGAAAAAAAAAACACCCCGAGACGCGCTTGCTCCGCAAGAACACCCGACAAACCGAGTTCCCCTCAATCGTCCGTCTACAACTTCCCAACTTAACATACAGATAGATACACAAGATGGCTACCAAATTGCCTTGTTGAGCCTGTTACCCACAGGGGAGATATCGTTGTATGCTGTCTGGGAAACCGTAGACATACAGGTAGCTTTTCGCTCACGCTATGGATTCATTGCTAATCTATCTTAGACATATTTCTATAGCTAGTCTAGATAGAGATGGATTTGTTGTGTGAAAAAATAACGCAGTGAATCACACTTGGGATGTCCACCTGATGAGCTGCAGCAGAGAAGCAGACAAGGCGAGCTGGCTCCTTTCCAGCGGTGCTGCTGTGAGCTGCAATCTGCTCCCCTCAACACAACGTGACCAAGCTCGGGTACCGCCGTTCTGCCTGACATCGATCGGCGGCCTTTGCGCCTTCTCGGCCTGTACAAGTGAGTACAAGTAGCTGCGGAGAGAAAAACTGAGGTCTCCAGCCGGATGGCATCTACCCGAAGCGATACAAAATCTGACAGTCCTGACTACGGACCAGGGTTGGACACCTCCACGACATGCGAGGCAGGCCGTATATTTACACAATGTACACCACATCCACTACAGTAGTAGACAACAAGTCAGCGCTGACTTATAGTCTAGTCTCATGGATATGCTGTGCATCTTAGGTGAACTACTGCTAGTTATCTAGAGCCACGGTCCGGTTAGTATGTAGGATGAACGACATGACATGAATAGACTAGACTCTATGTAGCTAGACTATATCCTGTCGTCACGCGCCCCGTTTTGAATCCCGTGGACCAACACGCGTCGTCGGGTCCGATGGTTACGGATTTGTTGACTGATTCTCGGTCTTTTTCGTGGGGAGACTCAAGGACACAGCGAAGTACAAGTCGACCGGAGAGGCGGGAGTTCGCAGTACATATCGCGATAAGGCACACAGGAGACCGTCCGCAAGCGCTCGTCGGGTACAGCTGGTTGTTGGCTGCTTTCCACGTTCGAAGTCTTCGCGGGTGAGGGGGTTCAAACGAACAAGACTGGACAGGACATATCACGCAGCAAACAGAATGGTGAGATGTTTTCGTCGCTGCGGTTGATATTTCTATGACACCACATTTGCCGGTAAGAACACGTGCTCAGATTGCACCTGCAGTTAAGAATAAGAACGCACGCCGAGGTGTACCATTGCTGCTAAAGATAAGAACAAGAGCACATTCAGCAGCTGCGAGATAAGAACATTCGAACGGGGAGGGGGGGACGGGCGGGGGGGTGATCCAAGTATTGGATTTGGCAGGGGGGTAGGTGTGCCGAAGGTGGGTGCATACATACACCTCGGAATCTGCAATTTTTGCAGAGAGGGTGGGCACTGTACACGTCGCGCCCCCTTGGCGGCTGCCAGGCCACGCACGTGCAGCGGGCCACGAGTTTCCTGCCGTACAGGGGGATCATGTCCCTGTCCAATCCCTTATCCCATGGGTTTTTGAAAGATCTTGGCAAACTTGCAGAGTTGAAAGGACGGGGTCTGATTCTTGACCGTCACTTCGAGACGATAAAAACACATGTGAAGGCGGGAAACTCCGTTGCGAAGGAGCGGTGGGACGCCATCGAGAGCGCGTGGGGGTTGAAGCAGAACGGTATCTTCGACGAAGGAGAGTGGATCGCGCAGATTGATGGTGAAATCCAGGGCATTACCAGCAGCACCCGCCTGTCCTTGTCATCGCAACAAGATGCCAGCAGCGCACGAGGTGCTGCTGCACCTTCTCAGCAACCACCTGCTGCTGCAGCGGTTACCGNCGACGAAGGAGAGTGGATCGCGCAGATTGATGGTGAAATCCAGGGCATTGCCAGCAGCACCCGCCTCTCCTTGTCATCGCAACAAGATGCCAGCGGCGCACGAGGTGCTGCTGCACCTTCTCAGCACCCACCTGCTGCTGCAGCGGTTACCACGAGGAGGAAGGTGGATCGAGGGAAGCACGCCAGGGAGGGAGCTGCGAAAGGCACTTTAGGCGGCAACATCTGCAACGCGTTCTCGATTGGCAGCGGACATCAGGTGAGTTCGGTTACATATGTATCCGACGCATGCTGTTGCTTTGTTTTGCTACACGGGTGTTTTTTTTTTAATCCCGAGTCTAAGCAAGAGAAAGAATGAAAAATNGGCAGCGGACACCAGGTGAGTTCGGTTACACATGTATCCGACGCACGCTGTTGCTTTGTTTTGCTACACAGGTGTTTTTTTTTCTAAATTCCCGATAGTCTAAGCAAGAGAAACAATGAAAAAACAAATAGATTTACTTGTCTAATGTGACCCAAACGAAAGAGACGTCATCTCCCCACTCTCTCGTGTGATTCACGATACTCTTTTCAAGGAAGTATTCGTTCAGAGTGCATAGATACTTTTGCCAGCGGCATCCACGGAAGTTTGAATTCAACAGCGCCACAACAAAAAGCGACTGACACGTCACATGGCTCCTTGAATCCCCTACACGGCAATTCAGCCCTTTCCCCGCACCGAGCAGATTGAGCGGACTCGTGGTGGAGTGAAAGAGTTCGTAT